TGAGTTCCGGTACGTTCAGGGTCGCAATTATTTTCAATCAAGGCCATATCAAAATGTACAATTTTCCTCCCTATCCATTTTCAGGGTCAACAGTGTAAGGTCCCGTTCGAAAAAGTTGCCATGACCTTGATTTGACCTTGAAAGCCAAGGTCAATTTGAAGGCCAGTACTGAATAGATAGGTGAAACGTAAAGCCCTTCTATTTTACCTTTCTTATTGATATCTTCAGACAAATTCCTGAAATCTTTTAAGCAAGCATTCTTCACGATGAGTTCCGGTACGTTCAAGGTCGCAGTTATTTTCAATCAAGGCCATATCAAAATGTACAATTTTCCACCCTGTCCATTTTCAGGGTCAACAGTATAAGGTCCCGTTCGAAAAAGTTGCCATGACCTTGATTTGACCTTGAAAGCCAAGGTCAAATTGAAGACCAGTACTGAATAGATAGGTGAAACGTAAAGCCCTTCTATTTTACCATTCTTATTGATATCTTCAGACAAATTCCTGAAATCTTTTGAGCAAGCATTCTTCACGATGAGTTCCGGTACGTTCAGGGTCGCAATTATTTTCAATCAAGGCCATATCAAAATGTACAATTTTCCAGCCCCTCCATTTTCAGGGTCAACAGTATAAGGTCCCGTTCGAAAAAGCAGACATGACCTTGATTTGACCTTGAAAGCCAAGGTCAAATTGAAGACCAGTACTGAAGAATAGATAGGTGAAACGTAAAGCCCTTCTATTTTACCTTTCTTATTGATATCTTCAGACAAATTCCTGAAATCTTTTAAGCAAGCATTCTTCACGAGGAGTTCCGGTACGTTCAAGGTCGCAATTATTTTCAATCAAGGCCATATCAAAATGTACAATTTTCCAGCCCATCCATTTTCAGGGTCAACAGTATAAGTTCCCGTTCGAAACAGCAGACATGACCTTGATTTGACCTTGAAATCCAAGGTCAAATTGAAGGCCAGTACTGAATAGATAGGTGAAACGTAAAGCCCTTCTATTTAACCTGTCTTATTGATATCTACAGACAAATTCCTGAAATCTTTTAAGCAAGCCATTCTTCACGATGAGTTCCGGTACGTTCAAGGTCGCAATTATTTTCAATCAAGGCCGTATCAAAATGTACAATTTTCCACCCTATCCATTTTCAGGATCAACAGTATAAGGTCCCGTTCTAAAAAGTTGCCATGACCCTGAATTGACCTTGAAAGCCAAGGTCAAATTGAAGACCAGTACTGAATAGATAGGTGAAACGTAAAGCCCTTCTATTTTACCTTTCTTATTGATATCTTCAGACAAATTCTTGAAATCTTTTAAGCAAGCATTCTTCGCGACGAGTTCCGGTACGTTCAAGGTCGCAATTATTTTCAATCAAGGCCATATCAAAATGTACAATTTTCCTCCCTATCCATTTTCAGGGTCAACAGTATAAGGCCCCGTTCGAAAAAGTCGACATGACCTTGAAAGCAAGGTCAAATTGAAGGCCAGTACTGAATAGATAGGTGAAACGTAAAGCCCTTCTATTTTACCTTTCTTATTGATATCTTCAGACAAATTTCTGAAATCTTTTAAGCAAGCATTCTTCACGATGAGTTCCGGTACGTTCAAGGTCGCAATTATTTTCAATCAAGGCCATATCAAAATGTACAAGTTTCCTCCCTATCCATTTTCAGGGTCAACAGTTTAAGGTCCCGTTCGAAAAAGTCGACATGACCTTGATTTGACCTTACTACAAGTTGATCAGTAAAAAGGGTTGGAGAGAAACTTACATAATAATATTGATAGTCTTATTCGCTATTTATAGACACTTATCATTTCTTGTCGAAAGCACTCTCCCTATCGAGTAAAGTCTGCGCTCTTCTCATTTTCTATATCCATCTTCTAGATCGCATAAGCCGAAATGACAAATCCGTTCGGTCTGAACAAATCGCCGGGCTGTTCTCTTAATAATTCACCGGGAGTGTTTTACCCTTCGCGGGCAAAGCACACGCGATTTGTCCCAGTCAAAAGCAAAACAAGTGAAAAATGAACAGGCCGGATTTTAATTACTGTACAGGCTTTGACTTCGTTTATTAAACATTAGGGGAGGTGTAATTGAACACGATGATGTTTCGTTTGTTGCTTAAAATAGAGCGTGGTTATGAGTTAGAGACGTCGACTAAGTAGCGTGGAACATGCGTTCATCAATTTGGGTGAAAAAAAAAGACAATATATATGAATCAATTTTGCTTTAACTTTGCAGACATCGCATGAAGCAAAGCTAAAATCTATTTTCCCACCGATCCTGATGCTTTCCAAGATAGAACCACAGTCATTTGTCCTAATCGTACGCTTTTTTCAGCTGTCTAAATTTTAATTTCAAATAATATTTTGACGCCTGTACGTCCTGCCAAATTATGATGAAAAATCTGAATAAAGAGCGCTTTTCGCTGTACTGTATCTACCTACGTGCATCCGATGCATATTAGTTAACCGTTTTTTCCTTGTTTAAATAGTTTAACACGTCTCAGGGTTATTTTTGGTTCGGTTCGCCGTAAATCGTGAAGAAAATCTGCAGTCGTCGCTTTCTAGGAGTTTTCAGAATGCGAAATATACTGAGCGACGGAGGAAAGAACGCCCTGTCATGATGGATCTATCAAAAAGATTTTCTAGATACGAGGGTGGTCCACATTTTTTTTAAATTGCTTTTTTTGCAGTAAAAAGTCCCAATAAAAATATCATACAATACTATATTAGTATATAACTGGAAACATTAGCCAGGAATACGAATATCATCTCACTAGGTCCCTTTTTTTAACGCCCACTTTGACGTAAAATCCATTAAGAAACCTCGCGTAAAAGCTAAAAGCAATACAAATAAATTTCGAAAGAAATGACCAATGTTAGCTAGATAATTTTAGTCACTTCACCGCTTTAAAAAAAAGAATCATCCAAGGCTGATTCTTTACCTAAACTGAAATAACGAACGCCCACAAGTCCCATTTAACAGAGGCCATAAAGAACAAATCTTATCTTGGTCTCGTATAGACCGGGTAGCAGTCGGTTTTTTCAAACGTAACTGTGATACAGATTTGGCTTAGCGATATTCACTTTTTTAACGTGAACATTATGGGTGGAAGGTTTTAAAAACATGCTGTACATTATTTGCTAAACTGTGAAACATCAAATTGCAGTTTTTTATTACCTGAAAGGATTTCGAAAAAATAATTTTTCACACTTTAGATTTTCCATTCTGAATAAAAAAGCTTATTGATTAATTTTTCTCTAAAGTTGACGTTTTTCCAATTTACATGCCTGGAAACCCTTTTCAATGCTGCAATCTCAGCGATTCCCTTAAAGATTGCAGAATATCTTGAGCCTGCTTTATTTGAAAACGTTCTGAATATCATATTAATATCTTTTAAACAGTATTGTAGCTAAATCAGATCCCTGAGGAACACCGGTGTTGGCATTATTATTGCAACGTATTTTTCACTTTCTGGTGACTGCCTCCTTTTCTATAGCACTTGAGCGTAGTGTTTTATCTCTACACGCGTACGGAGCGCACACATCTCATCGTAAAAACGTCCCTCGCTCGAGATAGGATACGCCTTTATGAAGGAGAAAGCGACTTGAGTGTAAACAGAAACACAGCGACAGTAAGTGTAAGGCAGGTAGCAGGTATCTTCTTCTTCAACGTCTTGGAGACTACTTTGCTTTCGTAATATGAAGAACAAACGGGTTTCTTATCCGAAATTACAACCAGCCTTATAAATATGAATAAGTTCGTGGGTACCTCGTCAGGTAGCCGCTGTTTCTGTTTGATTAATATATGAAGACGCTTACAAAGGAACAATTGTTGTATTTTGGGCTGCATTGGTAGGATCATTTAAAATTTGATATTTGAGAAGAATAAAGAAACTAATGTATATTTTTTTCATAATTTTGGTTTTATCAGAGAGGTGGAACCTAGACATTTAATGAATAAAATAAAAGAACATATTTTAAAAACAAGCTTTCATTTAGGTGTTAACAAAATAAAGTAAACATCTAAAAATGTTGTCATCTCAATTTAAAAACAAACGTAGCACGGCTTTATTTGAAAACTTGAGATAAAGGAGCTTCACTGTCGTTTAAATATTTCTAATCAAAGAAATGGATTTTCAAATTTTAGTTTAAATTTATGGACTGGCAAATAAAAGCTTGTTTTTAAAGCATATTTTTTCATTCTACTCATTTATATGTTATTAGTTTTCATATATCTTATCAACGCTCCATAAAAGTTGTTGCTATGAAAATGATAAAACGCCCTCTTCTAGCGTCCGCCATATCGGATTCAAAATGGCTGCGTAGAATTCGTTTTGTATCATCACGCAAATCAAACGTATATACAGTTGGTTGGTGTTAACTGGTTCGAAATTCAGTTCGAACATTCATTCTACACTAACAAAGATGTCAGTTTGAACAAAAACTTGTGAAAAAATAAAACACGATGAATGACACACCCTGTATAAGCGAATGTCAGCAATAAAGTATCTTCTTTTTTTTTAATTAAAAAAAAATGATGTCCAAGCATTAATAAGCCACTTAAAGCTGATAAGTCTCCTCTTTTTTTGATACAACGTCGCATATAGATCTGACCTAGCCCACAATATTCCTCAAAACCACTAAAAGTGCACTAAATCTATAAATAGGGTCATTTATAGTTTATTTACCACACCCAAATCCGATACTCCTAATCGTTCTGCAATAAAATGTGTTTGTATTGTCGTTTCAATGCCATCGCGTAGAAATAACACTTAAAAATGGCTGCCCGGCACTTCTACGTGCTTTTCGATTTCTGGCTAAATTGCTCTAAAAGTGCGTTTGTTTACTAACGTTGTAACTAAGACGCATTTTGCTTAAAAGTAGACGAAGACATTCTCGTTATAAATCTTAACGATAATTGTTTGCTTATTTTGCAATCTGCCGCGTTCATTCGGGAAAAAACTCCGAGCGTGTACGGAGCGTGGCGCGATGTCATCGCGAGTATTCGACACGGCTGGAGGTGAATGTGCTGTCATCTACACTACTTCCATGTTACTTCACGACTCCGACTGGAAAACGCTGGAATGGTGCTCGACTCGTCGATTGGGGAATAAATACCCGACCAGATGGCGGAAGCAGTCAGTCACAGTCGAGACAGTAAACGGCGCGGAAGATGGAACAATTGTCCAGTCGACGTAGTTATAAATTTGTTATAGCAAGGTGGTTTCGTTACAGTATTTCTAACAGCTTGAATTATTTATTTGTGTATTTGTAACCTAGCTTCATTTATAAAAGTCCTGTGATTCATGCTCCTATCACCGATAGCGTTCTGCCTAGTTTTCATCCGGAACTGAAGGATTTTCTGGAACAAACTTTTTATATCTATCGGTGTCACTTTTCGTGAGCGATGACAAAATACCTTCCGTTTCACTTTCATTCTTAAAATAATCTTTATTGACTAAATGCATATTTAAATATGTATACCGAAATGTATGCACATACATCTCCGAAGTTACAAACAGCATTTTTTATGTAACCATCGAAAACATGCGTTACGCAAAATGATAAGCGACAACGTTTTTCCTGTGAAGCAACGCACAGATCGTGTTTAATATTTTTTTTTTAATTTATTGGCTTACCGAACGTTCAAAAGTGTGTTAACCTTTAAAATCAAATCTATCGAAAATTATTAGCTTTACACATTTCTAATAAGTAAACCTTTTTACGAGAAAATAAGATTTTTCGGTCAGTTGCTTTATACAGGGTAGCACAAATATCTTGTAAATTATTTCTTTTCCTTCAAAAGACTACAACAACTACAACTCTAACTAAGGGGTCGCCTATTATTGATCACCTCATGTTTCTGAGCAACTTTATTGTATCTTTTAGTACAAAAACTGATTGAAAAAATCCATCTAACTTATTTATAACTGCTCCAGTGTGAAAAAAGACATTTAAGTATCTGTAAAGCTGAAGGATTTTAGTAAACGAAAAAAAATCAAACCTCTGACTTATTTTCGGAAAATAAGCATACTACATCACAAATCTTCGCTTCTACTTTGTGTAAGTGAGAACATTCGGGGCAACGGATGTGAGGAATAAGTTGTGAATCTCGTTTCATAACTGCAGAGCGTAGGGATTTAGAGTGCGGCTACAAATCAAAGTGATGCTTGCTTCCCAAGTGCTGCGAACATCTGAAAAATTCATAAAAGAAGATTTAATGCTCCGAACGGACCGGAGCAAAATAAACATTGTATAAATCTTTGTAAGTCAACGCGTCAGCTGCGAGCCTTGATGCATTTAAGGGTTGAAAAGTTGTGTATGTAGGGAAACATTTGAAGCAATAATACTGCAAGTATAAATAATAAAACCTCTTTCGTTTATTCAAACCCAGCTTAAAAATCGGTTTCAAAAAGTTTGTATAAATCAGTAGTACTCTGCCGCACAAGAAATTTGTTCTGGTGTACCACAAGTATCTGTGTTGGGACCCCTGTTATTTTCATTATTTATCTCAGATTTAGAAACAGAGGTAAAATCGTGCAGCTTACAATTTTCTGCTGACGATGCTCAGATTTTCTATTCATTCCAGAGTAATGACTTGGAAACAGCTAATAATAAGATTAATCGAGAATTAATCAAATTGAAAAGTATAGATGTATGTTTTTTGTACCAAGGATTGCATTTTTCATAGTTGTTTCGTCCTTAAGGTAAGTCGGGCACTATTTTGATTTAAATACCGTTCAACTGATACACGAGTCAAGGTGAAAAAGTGCGTCAAGTAGATTGACTTTTACAAAATTTGATATCTTTATTATTCGACAGTTATAAAAATCCTCGTACCTCGATAAAAGGGTTGAAAAAGTGTGTCTGGGAGTTGTTTGAATTTGTTTTATGCTTATTGGGAATCGTTACTAAGGTATAAGTCACGGGCACTATTAGGATCTAAAAACTATTTAAACTAAGGTAAAAAATGACGTCAAGTAGATTGACTCTTTACTTCCACGCAGTCTTGGATAAGTAGCCTTCAACTTTGATACTGTGGTATTTTTACTATTTGATAAAAATCCTTTTACCTTGGTATGAGGATTGTAAATTGTGTCTGCGAGGTATTTAAATTGATCCAAGAAATACACTCAGGGCAAATAAAACTAGAAGAGCTTCAATATACAATTTATTGCATTTTTAGTAGCTGTTTTGTCCTTATTAGGAATCGTCATCAAGATACTTCCTCGCCAATAATATGGGGAGTCAAAATGCATCAATGAGATGCACCTGTTTTCGGGAAAGACGCTTCTAACCAGAATAATTATTTTCAGTTACATTTACCTCTATCTTGTATCTTTTCACATATTCCTCCTAGCCATTATTGCCTCTAATTAGATCGACTTTAAAATGGACGCTGATATCATTATCAAACGAAATGGAATAGAACATAATTATCCGAGTAATCGCGAAGTAATTAGATACACATATCCGAATCGGTCTTAGACTTGTCGCGGTTATCAGTTTTTTATACGACGGTCTACGTGACTGCCAGTGAGTAGCAACTACCGGTTCTGGCTCAATTAAAGAACGAACGAACGAGAAAATGAAAGGATCGGAGCAATAAGGTGCCTATGACATCGATCAGCGATCCACAAACCGATCCGCATAAACATGTGCCATTTTTTATTTCGTTTGAGCCGCGCAACAGACACCACTATTCACTCACGCGTTACCGACTGACACTGACTGTATACGTGTATACAACTGAATAAAATAATTGTAAAAACATCGTTCCAAATTCTTTCGCTTTTTTGTTTCCGATGCGATGAACCGATAAGGCGGATTATATCCGTTGTCGCCAAACACGAGCACATAATATTATTATTGAGACAGGGCGGTACTCAAACTTCCAAAGGGCTATAACTTTGTTACTTTAATTTTACCAGAAAAATGGTAAAGGAAAAAAACATTTCTTTTGATCAGATCTACTCACTGTTAAAATAAATGACTCAACTTCGGATTACAAGGTACTCTTCTGTAAAAAATTCCGGACTATAGGGGGTCTTAGGCAGTCCTCTATAATCCGACAAATTCGATAGTACGACACTGATCTGCATAATGTTTGTCGGATTACCGGAGATCAACTGTATAGATTATTATATTATTTTAAAAAAAGTTGTACTCCAAGGGTAGTTTAAAAACGGTTGTTAGACAAAATAATCCTCCATTTGACAAATTGGCGTACGTGACTGCCGCTGTTTAACAGCTCTCTATTTATTGATTCTGGTTCGGCAGAAATTGAAAAAAGCATCCGAGATAATTAACGGTTTGCATTGAAGTTATGTCGCTTGTTAATTATGGTAGTTTCGTGATTTTTATAGCGCGTACTGTTACGGATAAATCCTTGGGAGAGTATTGGAATCAGCGGTATTGTTCCAAAGACAGTCATAGTTTCCGTAGAGATATGTATGCATAAAAAATAGTTATTACAATATCAACAGGGTGTTCTACGCAGACTTGCGCCAATAAAGTTGACATTAGGCAATTGCGAAATTTCGGGTTTACACAGCGTGTCCCAGCATTCGGTGGACATAGAAGTAGCACATATTTCTAGATCCATTGGATATGATTTACCGCAATATCTTATTTTGGATCACCCTGTATTGTCATGCCTTCCGGGTTGTTGGTAAAAGTTGAATATTAGAACGTCTATCCTAACACATTCAAATCAAACTATCGGTTCGAAAAATATCTTAAAAAGTGTGCTTTTAAAAAGACTTAGACACCCTCTCACGGAAAAACGAAGCACTTCCGCAGGGAGTTAAGCCGGCTTATATTGAGACACGCTGTAGTATGAATGATTCGTTTTCAAAACGGTGACATTTCTAGTTGTACCAGAAGTAGATACCAAATTCGTTATTTTTTATTTAAAAGCAAAATTATAGACGTTGCACCCTATCTGCGGTAGATGCTTTCCTCGTTTTCCGGGAATCGTCTTATTTATATACCCCGCTTAATGGAGAACCGTACGCGAGTATAACTGACGACGCTTTTGCTTCACGGACCGTGAAAAATGAAGCAGCCCTGCATCTTTAAAAACTAATTAGGACAGAAATAGATGCTGCAGGCACATCACGACTTCACGTCTTCCGATTTGAAATGCTCACCCTGCCGTCACGAAGTACCGACCAAACGTTCTTACATCCACTATTTAAATTGCACTTCGAACGTCCAAATAATCGTTTTATTTTGAGCGTACACATTTTCCGCCCAAATTCTGCAACATTGCATCAGTGGTCCGCCTGGCAACACCGCATCTCGTACATCCCAAGGCAAGCTTTCCACCTCCATGATCATAGGTCAGTGGTTTTGGTCAGTACCCACCTGATATGCAGATATTTAGATGCTGCAGGCACATCACGACTTCACCTCTTCCGATTTGAAATGCCCACCCTGCCGTCACGAAGTACCGACCAAACGTTCTTAAGTCCACTATTTAAATTGCACTTCGAACGTCCAAATAATCGTTTTATTTTGAGCGTACACATTTTCCGCACAAATTCTGCAACATTGCATCAGTAGTCCGCCTGGCAACACCGCATCTCGTACATCCCAAGGCAAGCTTTCCACCTCCCTGAATCGTAGATCAGTGATTTTGGTCAGTACCCACCTGATATGCAGATATTTAGATGCTGCAGGCACATCACGACTTCACGTCTTCCGATTTGAATTGCCCACCCTGCCGTCACGAAGTACCGACCAAACGTTCTTAAGTCCACTATTTAAATTGCACTTAGAACGCCCAAATAATCGTTTTATTTTGAGCGTACACATTTTCCGCACAAATTCTGCAAAATTGCATCAGTGGTCCGCTTGGCAACACCGCATCTCGTACATTCCAAGGCAAGCTTTCCACCTCCATGATCATAGATGAGTGATTTTGGTCGGTACCCACTTAGCGCTCATCGGTAGATCACATAATTGTAAGTTATTTTAAAAAACTACAACACTTTTCCATCCTTGCCACAACCCTAGCAAGGCCAGAAGAAGTCCTGTAGAAAAGTTATCAAATCATGTTGTCTGAGAGAATAGGTTTTTTAAAAAACAATGAGCTCATGACATGAACATACTTTAACTTCATCTGGCTACGAAATTTCAACTCGCTGGTATCGATATTTTTCGAGAAAGTTCGGAAATGAGACTCAAAAAAATTGATCCAAATAAAATTCGGAAATGTGTAAGTTAGGTATAAAAAACCTAATAATAATAGCATCAATGAAACATATGCAGCTACATTCACAATAATCCAATCAGAAACTACAGAAGAGCGACATACAAAAATATCGTCAAGTAGATTGACTCGATCGAATCAAATCATTCGTTAAAAGTCTCGAATTTGAGACGACTTGGCAACGTTGTCGGCCAGATGTAGGCAGACGCGAGCATCGCATCATAGTACAGGAAAGCCATAAACACCGGAAAGGCGTAAAAAGCCAAATAAATAAATCCGACTGTGAATTATGGACAAACGGACGTATGGACGAGTTTTACGAGTCTCCCGTTAGGTTAAAACACCGCTAAATGTTTATGTTCGAATGTTGCTGCGTCGGGGGAAAGAACCATAAACGACGTTATGGTCGTGTATGTCGTTAAAGTATCTAACGATGATGCGGGGCAAAGGTGGAGGCTTACCGCTTTCACGAACACATTGTTGAAAAGATGGTGTCAGAAAAAAGTCAGTCAAACAGGCGCATACAGACATTATTTCCCTGCCTTACAGATTCAGAGCATAGGAAACACTGTGCTGTGGCGAGGCAGAAATGCGTCTGCGATCTTTTAATTTTTTTTTTTGGAGTATCATTCTACGTTACTGTCTTCCACGATACTCTGTATAATGAAATAACATTCTAGCTACGAGGTCGGTGGTCTTTCTGATTCTCTACAATCTAGAACAACCTGGAAGTGTAAACAACGTGGAAGTTGATTATACATTGAAATAATCGTGATCATAACCATAATAATGTGCAATATACATGTATGCATTTTGTATGAAGTGACTCACAACCGAACCATTTTTGTTTAATATTCAGTGATGTTATATTTATAGGTACAGGATAATTTGACTTCAAATTGTAACATAGGGTTTTTAGATACAATGTGTGTATGTCATATTCCACCAAAATCCACCCGACCTGTGTCCGAGGTTGGGGAATTTCGAGAACAGTGTTGCCAGAGCCAACATTGAAAATTCCGCTACTGGTATCGAAAAACTCCGCTACTTTCCGCTACCCCGGTGATTATCGTCGGAGGGAAGGAGGTTGGCGCACTATCATAAAACAGGGGGGGGGGGGGGGGCATTTATTATACAGGTTGTGCCAAAAAAGAAAAACAAAAACCAAACACCGTGATAAAATATAACATAAAACTGTAATAAAAAAACATTTGACTATAAAAACCAATACAATATTACAAATAACTGTCAAACAACAGAACATTTATCACCCAGTCATATTAAAAAAATATCACATGAAACTAAAAAATAAAAAGCATAGGACTATTTCTGTTTTGCATACAAAAATTGAAGTTTTTGAGTTACTTATACTTAGTCACTGTCTGTATCTTCTTGTTGTATTTCTGTTCTCTCTATCCTATACAGGGTGAATTTGAAGTTGAGTCATTAATTTTCAGATAATGATTGTAGAAGGAAGATAAACCAAAATGTGTGTGTAAAAATAAAAAAAAAAGTTTACCTTGTTTTATAAAGTATCCTCCCGACAAGTATTTCAGTGCGGACCTGTATTTGATCGTGAGGTCTTGGACCACCGGCATGCCGTCCCTGTGAGGTCTTAAGTCACCTGATTCAGGAGCCCGTTGTACCACATTAACAAAGGCACGTGTGCCATTTTTTGTTTCGTTTGAGCCACGTAACAGACACCACTATTCACTCACGCGTTACCGACTGACACTGACTGTATACGTGTATACAACTGAATAAAATAATTGTAAAAACATCGTTCCAAATTCTTTCGCTTTTTTGTTTCCGATGCGATGAACCGACAAGGCGGATTATATCCGTTGTTGCCAAACACGAGCACATAATATTATTATTGAGACAGGGCGGTACTCAAACTTCCAAAGGGCTATAAGTTTGTTACTTTAATTTTACCAGAAAAATGGTAAAGGAAAAAAACATTTCTTTTGATCAGATCTACTCACTGTTAAAATAAATGACTCAACTTCGAAGTCACCCTGTATAAATTATTTGTGTATTTTTTAAAATGTTTTTCACCAAACTCGAAGTCTAAGCAGCAACATTTTCGTATCGCGAGCAAACTTGGAGGTACAATACGATTCCTTTTCTTTGTTTTGATTATCCCCATATATGAGAATGTCCACTCGATATCTGTATTACCATGTGGGAAATGTTAATATTATTAGACTACTTCACATATTGTGTTCTTACCATCTACTACCATCAATCTGCGTCTCCGTTGAATAAGAATTGTCGACCGGTGGTTACCACTGTCGATTGGAAATATACCTGTATTTAGATTTGGTTACTAACTACACTCAATTTTTTTCTTCTGGTAAAAATATCCATCATGTGTACCTAAGTTGCAAAATTCCGCTACTTTTAACAAAAAATCCAATTCCGCCGCTACGCCGCTACCACTTGAAAATTCCGCTACCAGTAGCGGAATTCCGCTACTTCTGGCAACACTGTTCGAGAATACCGAATCCTCCGGTGAGCAGCGTTGCCAGACGTACGATAATTATCGTTTCTGCGTGTAGGATAACAGCTGAATGTACGATAATTTTGCGAGACGGAAATTTTCCTTCGTCATGAATCCAGAGAGAACCTACGCTACCGGCGAAAGTAAAAATGATCTTAGAAGTAATAATAAAGCGACGGAAATTGTAGGTGACCATCCAAATACACAAATATGGTTGGACATCTCGGATAATACGAATAATATGTGATTCAATCTCGGAAGAAAAAATACTGTGCGTTTAGAAAGCGACGATCATGTGTTGCATCAGGTAAGCCGTCGTCTAAGCGTATGCAAATCCGCGAGATTATTCGCAACACGAGCACTGACCGTCATTTCCATTAGATAATAATTCAACAATTGCGTTGATATCAGGAGAGGTGAGACCGGTACTTAATGCATTCAAACTGGATGATATTTATAGAAAAACTACGGAGCGTGTGCAGGTATTTATTCAGCAAATGGCCAATGATAACGGAGATACGCAGATTACACTGAAAGTACGAGGCGTTGTTTACACGTGTGATAAGTATATCTACTGTTTCTTATTCGTAACGAACACATTCTATTTAAGGAGCGCTGTTGATGAAATATAGAATATATAGTTTCGAACGAAATTTTGAGTTTCAAACTGCAAAGATTAGAATCTATAATAATAATAATTGGGCTTTGTTTCACAGAAATAGAGTGAGTCTATTTGACGTCATTTTTTGTCGAGTATTTGGGGTGTTCCAATATTCACACCTGTATCTTGTGCCTTAGAAACCAGCCAGAGCAGCATGGGGTCATGGAGACAGGATATCGTCAACGTTTTCATCGATTTTTTCCTTCTCATATGCAAATATATGTTAACCCAAGGCGAATAAAATTATAGAGCGAGATATGCATTAATAAGAATTGTGAAATGCTAGTTAGGTGATAATTCTGAAACGCAGATGCATCTCTATTGTTTACACGTGGTATAATTTTAATTAAGTAACATTAAAAATAAAACGTTCTATTCCAGGAAAGCTGCCAGAACCTGATATGCAGATATTTAGGATTAACTACCTACAGTGAAAGCAGGCCGATTTCTTACAAAAAAATCAATGTCGAAACTCTCTAAATCTGTGTGTTTTATACTGAAAAGAATCTTTGCAATAAGTATGTTTCATCCATAGTTCTAGGATTATCCTTTATTTTATCGAAAGTCACAGTGTCGATATCTACAAACATGGTGCAATATCTTTTTCAGTAAAATAAAAATTTGCTAAAATATTTGTATTACCTCGTATGATAATGCACGTAAATCGTTAGAGACATCAGTAGACAAACAAAACTATAAATTCCCCAAAAATAGAACAGTTCCCGGTAATGTTGATCTTGACATCCACGTAAACCGGTCTACTAGCTAAAAAAAATTAATAATAAATGCTAAAACTGGAACATTGAATTGCAAATTTTCCAAAATCGAATTAACCGAATTTCAACCCGGTAGGCTACCTTGACATATCTATGAGTCATGAACAATAATTATGTACAAATCGTGCTAGATTTTTTTTTCGCGAAAATGTCGAATCTGAAATTCAGAATATTGAATAAGTATGAATCGTTTATGTTTGGATATTTAAATTTTATGGTAATTTTATAGAAGAGGTTTGGTCGCTGTCAAAAGTGGATACCGATTTTTTGAAGAGTGATGTTGGGTTTCAAGTAAAGTCTTACCAATTTAGAGCATTTGCCGATATGTATATTTCAGAAGCTGATATATTAAAAATAGAGTTTTAACACGCTAGCATTTCAAGAACAATCTTTTGTTTAGCTGTTAATAAATTGATCTAAAAACTTGTGGGCAGTCGGTGTATTGGACCTGGAATGACGTCACTTTGCTTATCTTACCAAGCCTTTTTATTTGACACCCATATAATAGGAATGACTATGCATAATATAGATCGCCATTTTACGGCGCCCGCCATATTGGACTTAGAATGTCATCACTTTGCTCATTCTATTTCTCTCATTAGGCCCTTTTATTTGATACCCATTGCATGGGGGGTCACTGCTGCAATTATAAACGCCATCTTGGAGCGGTTGCCATATTGAATTCAAAATGACGTCACTTTTCTTATCGCATTTGTCTCGTAAAGCCCTTGGAACGGTCGCCATATTTAATTTAGAAAGACGTCACTTTGCTTATCGCGTTTCTATCATCAAGCCCTTTTATTTGATACCCATATTATAGGGGTGAATTTAATAATTATAAACGCCATCTTGTGGCGGTCGCCATATTGGATTTAGAATGACTTCACTTTTCTTATCGCATTTGTCTCACAAAGTCCTTTTATTGGATACCCATACCAAAGGGGTGACTATGATGATTTTAAACGCCATCTTGGAACGGTCGCCATATTGAATTTAGAATGCCGGCACTTTGCTTATCGCGTTTCTATCATCAAGCACTTTTATTTGATACCCATATTATAGGGGTGAATGTGAATTTAATCATTATAAACGCCATCTTGTGGCGGTCGCCATATTGGATTTAGAATGACTTCACTTTTCTTATCGCATCTGTCTCACAAAGCCCTTTTATTGGATACCCATACCAAAGGGGTGACTATGATGGTTTCTGTCATCAATCCCTTTTATTTGATATCCATATCATAGGGGTACCTATCGTAATTATAAACCCCATCTTGGGGCGGTCGCCATATTGGATTTAGAATGACGTCACGTTGCTTATTATGTTTCTCTCACCTGATATCCCCATCATAGCGGCTACTATGGAAATGGTGAGTCGCCATTTTGTAGCAACTGCCGTATTGGATACAAAATGGCGACAAGATAGTTTCTTCGATTTATTTTAAGCATACTGTACGAAAATGTCGAAAACCCCTAAAAATTGCAGCGTATAGGAATATTCCGAAAAAAAGCTCACAATAAAAAACTGACAAACTGACAAAGCAATTTGAATCCTTTATGTAAAAAACACAAGAGAAGTTAGGTTGATACATTCAATGAGAACATAGTGTATTTATATAAATAATGTCTTTCTCACAACTCAATAATTCTGATCCTTATCATACCTTGTCGATCTCATTTCCATCAGTACCTAAGTACTTATTTTCTTATATGCAATACAGTTTGTGCGCCCTGTACAAACATCGATTACAGCCTTGCAGATGCCGGCACAGGCTAAGGCATTACTTATGCCCCGGTAGAGACCACATTGTTTTCGATTTACATACAATGGCATACATAAACAATTTTTTACATGATTAGAGAGTATTATTGTTGACATTCCCTGCATTATGCCGGCTCACTGAACATACACCTATTTCCGCGACCAATCACAGATCGGTGCATTCTTGATCAACTTTTGTCATTTCCGAACTGCGCGTTGTTTAGATTTAATCTTAATTTCTAAACGAGATGTTTCAGTAGGGAATACCGGCCATTTTCAACAGGTTTTGGCAATCACGTTTATGATTCCAATGACAGAAAACGTACCTACTACTTGTTAAAACACAATTTTAATAGTTTGAGTTATTTAACGTCAAAGTCAGAGCCTCCCTAGATGAAAAAATGCGCTACTTATTAATTTTATTTTCTGACAGATAAATCATGGCCTGCTTAGAAAAAAACTTATACCATAACATTACGTATGATATTTCGGTGATAGTCGTAATCGTTTATGCACTTTTGAGACATCACTACAAAGCGTAGGGAAGATCATTTATATTTTTATAACATTGAGATGTGAGACGTCGAAAGTCACATCGGGTGGTAACAAACATCTACTAAAATCACCCAAAACGTCGCGTCGGTTTGATCGTAGATACAAACGCACAAGTAATAATCGAGCAGCAATAAGCGTTATTGCTATTATTCTCCATTATTTCCAGTTCATTGTGCAAGTCCATGCGGCGGCGAACAATTCCATCATTTTCAGGAGCACTGGAAACATAATAACACTTCCTAGTTTTGCAAGGTAATAATCTTCTATACATGTAACGTTCGGTATAAATAAGCAATAAGATTCCGGAATTGAAGAAAGCAATCATGAAATAAATGTATTCATGTCTATAATAGGTCTATATTCGTTATACCACGCTGCCTGCCAGCGAAGGTATCGCAATAATTATGGTGGAGATAATGATAGATTCAGGCGTTCAGACAGATGTGTATACGAGGGTTATTTTTTATACAGGGTGTTCGCGAAGGAGATGGAGATATACTAAGTGACATATGAAATGCATCACCCAGAATTATTTTTGGAATTTTGATAAAAACAATACGAATATGTTTACTTGATGTTCAGTGATTTGGTTCCGTTTGTTCCATTGTTGTTTCATTGCATTATCATGCCTAGAGTTCGCAGATTTACCGGAGATCATGTTCGTCAGTGACAATTGCACTCCTCCAGAGAAGGAAATCAAAATTTAATCTTCGTAAAGAAAGGCAAAGCACTGCACATCTTTGTGCCTGCTCATGAATATGAAAAATATGTATCACTTTTCGTTATTTAAGGCCCGTATCGTCAGTCGTCCCTACAATTGTAGGGCGTGTTTATCGCCTCCTTGATTGTCATACTTCTTTCTCTCCTTCAAAAATTTCTAGATTACACTTGTCCCGTGTCAGCGTCAGCGCTCTCCTATTGTGAAGATATGTTTTCTTTTTAAATTGTAGGAAATTTCAGGCTGATAAAACATGATATAACTCAAAAGCAAGCACAATTTGATGCAAATAGATGTTTGTGACATAACCTCAAAATAGAGCGCTGACACGGAGAAGTAGAAAAGCATGACAATCAAGGAGGCCATAAAGGCGCCAATAATTAGATATTCGCAGCATTTACATTGGAAGCTTTGATATCACCTGAATTAACTGTTTGAATCTGCCACAATATTTAAATCCTTTTGAATAAAGCTTGTTTGGGTCATTATTTTTCCTGGCCCAATTGAAAAAAATATTTAGAAATAAGTCTGTTTGAGTTTTTGAGGTTAGAAAATTTACCTTGTATCTCCGAAGTTTTCCTGCATTCTTCCCGTAATCAAAGGTGCAAACCACTATAAAAACTGACAAGCACTTATTAATCTACACGACACAAACACATTTTCCGGGTGCGGCCGGGTTTCACTTTGAAAACACTGAAAATGACGCTCCCGAAAAGCTCGTGTAAAAAGCCCGCCTAAACTGTACAAACGATGTCAAGAAGGCTGACTCTGTATCTTACTTGAAGTTGCATAAAATTTGTTGTTTGTTGGTTTTCGTCGAATTCTGTTATAATCAGGTCATTATCAGTAACGGTATCGATCTAAATGGTGATCCAGCGCTCAAATCAAATTTTTTTTTCAAACCTACTATATACTATACTACCATTCGTCGGACAAATGTTATATTCTTGGTAAAAACTTGACTATTTTTGAAATGCTTGCTAGTAACTAGTAACAGATTTATCAACTAATTTGTTTTCAAAAATTTAAATCAACTAGCAAATTACGAATCATATGTTTTATTATGAAATGATAAGAACGTGAAATCGGGATATATGTAAACTAGTCCACATATTCAAATTTCTTCAAAAGTAAAATCAGAAAAGCTAATGCTCTCGACATCTACTGTTAGGATAACTATCCTAGTGTTTTTAAGCACTATGCGTTATACTTTCCTTTAACTGGATTCACCATAAGTATCCTGATGTTACACTCTTCGTCGCTAGATGTCAGGATGTATTTATTATGTGGCGACATCTATCATCTGGATAATGAAGCTTTAGATGAAACGTTACAGTTTCCTGTAACCCGTTCCGTTAAAAGTTTATATTGTTAAAACACAGATGGCTGTATAAGTTTTGTGGTAGCGACATCTCTTGGTTAGCAGCCAAACTTCAGTTAAATAAATATAGGAGTCGTAAGAATTTTTAGGCAACGAAAATGCAGTTGGGTATTTCAGCGTTCGTTGCGCCATCTATAAGATTATGTTTAAATTATTATCATTTGTTTATTTTAGATTGTAGCTGAATATTTTCAAACTTGTGAAAATCCGAGTTAGAATGTCTGAACCCTCAAATTCCGAACTTTTTCCATACAGCAAAAATAACGACAAGCAACAAGATGAGGTAAATAAACTTTGAATCTTATCGCTTGCTTTCCTACGTTCTTTGGTTATTTCCAGTTGCTCTTGGAACCGATGAGCTACATTTTACAAGTTCCCGGGAAAAACATAAGGGCCAAACTAACACGTGCTTTTAATTATTGGCTTCTTATCCCAGACGAAAAACTGAACCAAATTACAGACATAGTTCGTATTCTTCACAATGCAAGTTTACTGTAAGTACCTTGTAGATTGCCTTCGATTTTCAACGAGTGGTTCCTTTTTCAGTCTTTGCCTAGAGCGTAGACTGTCATGACTGGGTTCCAGCTTCATTCGGGTTTTTAGAGGCAACAATCCCAGAACTATCAACAATAATACTGATATCATTTTATCGCAACAGAAAGTTCATTTATTAGTAATATAATATACCTGGTAGTAACGCTGAAGTTTTCTACTAGCTAAACAAAGAAAATCAAAGTTATTCTAAGCATCGGTGCAGTATACATTAAGATTATTAGTATTTCAAGTTATTCAATGTGCAATTGCATCAGTTATTGCAAAAACCTTTTTTAGACACTTGTTTATTCATTTATTTATATATTAAGAATAGGGACAGACATGCATTCCAGCTTGAAACTAAAATCAATCTGTGTGTAATTCTTCACAACGTTTAACATAGATCGACAATGACGCCATTCACAGAAAATTGGTACACTCATGCATTTGCCTACAATAAGGGCCGTTCCATTGGTCACAGATCAAATGTATTAATTTAAGTTCGCAGCCTTCTATTCAGTAAAAAAAGTTGATGCAAATGTTTGTTCCACCAGTTTTAATTCCTGTTTAACAGCAAGATGTTCTGGGATAGTTCCTTGTAGATTGTAGTACCTACCTGAATAACAAGATTCTACATACTTAATTTATCTTCTTTGTAAAGGGGGAATCTGGATCGCTGTTGCCTCACTATCCTTAAATCGTTTCAGAATAGATGACATTCAAGATAACTCAATATTGAGGAGAGGCATACCTGTGGCACACTCTATTTATGGTATTGCAAGTACTATCAACAGTGCTAACTATACATTTTTTATTGCTTTAGAAAGGATTATGGATCTTAAGCATCCAGAGGTATGATATAAATGATAATAACAAAATAGCTTGTTGAAGAGCATATCTTTCTTTTGGTACTATAAAATGTTTGCTTTCAACTATTGCGGTCAAAATATTGTTCTTATTTTTATCAAGCTTCCCAAATGATTAGTTTTGATGAATATTTATCCTGTCTTGGACTCTAATTTTTTTATTGATATCCTAGGCAACAGAGCTATTTTGAAAAAAATTAGTAAAAATATCATACTGGTCTGTAGTTCAAACTTTGAGGGGTCTCAAAACAATTCACAGGTTAAGTGTTTATTGCTTCCAAGATTTTTATGTGTGTTTTAAGGCTGTGACTATAGCTCTAGAGCAGATATTGGAATTATACAGAGGGCAAGGGATGGAAATCTATTGGAGAGATAATTTTAGGTGCCCATCTGAAGAGGAATATAGACAAATGGTCATAAGAAGTAAGTGGGGATACTCAACATTTTCAGAAAAAAAAACTGTTTCCCAAATAACATCTACTTAGTCAAGCAATTTTGCGGCGCGAGTTTCTTTTCAGGAAAATTTTTTAGGCATCCAAATCATTTAAAAAAAATTCTGCACCTTTTAGTATTCATTACTTCAAATTTCAATTTGTAAAAGTAATGCCCGACGCAAAATAAATCATTGTCAAATTGAATGTTTTCGTTTTGTTTTAGAGACTGGCGGCCTTTTTATGTTGGCCATTAGACTTATGCAACTTTTCAGTGATAACAAAGCGGACTTTACGAAAATAACTGCCTTTTTAGGCTTAATTTTCCAAATAAGGGATGACTACATAAACCTTGTATCCAAAGATGTGAGTATATGAAAATGTATTCACAGTTACTGAAATATTTATGCTAGCATTGATTAACGCGCTCTACCTGAAGATATCCAAACTAACACTATATATTATATTAACAGAAGGAAATATTAAACATAATAAAATACATTGATTTACTCAGAAGATGCTGAGAGTATTTGCATCTACTAACAAGGTTACATAAGAAAAATCGTACCATGAGAATATTCGCATCTTACAATGGCGCCATTTCGCTATACATCATCGTCAGGGGTACCGCAGGGTTCGCATTTGGGACCATTGCTTTTCTTGCTCTTTATTAACGATATAAGTGGCATTGTTCATTGTGAAACATTAATTCTCGTTACTCAAATCGTAAATAGTGCTAATAGAGCTTTAGGTTGTATTGTAAGCTTGGTTACATTGCATGTATATGCACGTTTTAAATTGAATTTGCTGCGTTGGAATTCTTACTTTGCTATATAAATTTAAGAAATTTCTTAACTATTTTCAATAGTAAATATTTTTTACAAAAGATGTGTTAAATTTACAAAGTGGTCGCCACGTCAAACCAAAAGCCTTATTTTTAAAACGTCAACATTACTATATTTTTTACAATATTACATAGAATTGTTGTGCATGTTCTTCCATAAGCATTGAATTTTTCTACACCTTTGAATTTTGATATATCAACTGCTTTTGACTGGTCCACAAACTGTTAAAATAAATGACTCAACTTTGAAAACAGCTTGTATATCTACAACGTTAGCTACAGTACAGCAGATGGAATACATTCATGAGATAACACACTAACACATTGGTGCTTTTTTTGATGTACAAAATTTTTTACTATTTCTGCCAGTAGCGTCAGTACGAGTTGTGCATTGAAAATTTGTGGAAAAAATGGTATGCTTTGGTGAAACATATCAGTGACAAATTGTCATCGATGGCGCTTAGGTAGAAAACGTTAATCAATGTTGCATATTTCCCTTTTTGTCCCCTGCGCTCGATTTAGCTCCCCCCCTCTATGCACTTCGCTCCCGGCGAATATCTGTATTTCATTTTCAGTATATGGCGCATAAGAGTTACTGCGAGGATCTAACGGAGGGAAAATTCAGTTTTCCCATAATACACGCCATTACTAGTCATCCAAATGATAAGCAAATTATTCGTATCCTTTTAGTTTTTGGCGTTTTTTTTTAGTCAACGGAAAGCTTGGGTTTTTTTTCTGTGCTTTCTGTGTTTTTATGTATATAGAATTTTAATATTTCAGAACGTATTTTAAACTTTCGTCAACATTTTTATCGACTACTAGACGTTTTGCATTTATGTGACTTTCATAGGTATTCAAAGTGTTGATATTAGTATTCCTTTCTTTCTTTTTTTCTTAACAACGATCATAGATATTCTTCAGCAAAGGACAAAGGAGATAGAGGTGAAAAAGTATGCTGTGTCTTTACTAGAAAAATATGGTAGTTTTGAATATACCAGGCAAACGCTAAATAAATTACAAAAGGAAGCTAAAGATGAAGTGGAGAAATTGGGAGGGAATCCGTACATGGAAGATTTCATAAACTCGTTGCATTTCTGAAACAAATTGATTTATTTGTAAATATAGGATGATTCAAAAAATGCAGAAGTAAAAAATTACCGAGTTAAAAGGCAACGCAAGTAAACCACTATATTGATATGAATGGGCACATATTAGACTTTTAATAGTTCTTATGTGTGTATTTTTATTTTTTATTACCTGTTATTCCTTCAAAAAGGAAGTAAGTTTTAATGCTATTTTCATATTCATCATAATAAAAGTATGTTGGAGAGATAATTTTGCGTATTATTTCACCTTTCATATAAATATGTCTTCAAGTATTTGAACTAAGAATAGAAAATGAAATACGTTTATCAGCCGGTTTTAATCACACATCTCCAAAGGTAAGCCAGCAAATATTTTTTTGTTATTATGAGCCTGGAAGGTTTTATGTTGTTTCAGGCATGAACAATAAAATGACCCAAGTTTTTGTATACTTTTATCATTATTATCAAGGGCGTGACTGGTATATAAATATTTTGGAAATGCCAGGTTGTTATTCAATATATAGATCTTGATAGATAACCAAAGCAAATCGTAGAAGTATCAAGATATATTTCAAACAAATATAAAAGCAAGGATCCAATCCTATTTTTAGTTAGTACCATGGAAATCTTTTTTAATCAAAGGTAATACAAAAATTATGTTAATTATCATCATGCATATCACAAAACTTTGATAACAAAAGGAACCTTCTGCTCCTTATCCACTTGAACTTCTAAAATATTGTCCAACTTTGTCAGCCACAGTTTCAGTCTCTTCAACGCTTCAAGAACTTGCGATTCTGCTTCTGCAGACTCCTTCAAAATGGCTTCCTTGAAACCCATGAATTCTTTTGCTGTGTAACCGATCACACCTGGAACAAAAAATTCAACTTCAATATTCCACATACTTTATTGCTCCATAAACAAACGCATTATTAGTAGAAAAACTAAATTCCTTGTTTTTACATTATCTGCAATGAACACAATACAAGTCTGAATATGAGGACAAAAATATGTAGAAAAAGTTAAAAAAGAAATACAGCACAATATTAACTTGTCTATATAATTTTGTCCGTTACTGTATATCGGAGATTGCTTGCATATTCTACAACACCCTGTATACAACCAACATTCCTGTACCTGCCATGACAGCGTCTGACACTTTCAAAGAAATATCACCACTGTCATCTGTAACTTTGATCACCATCTGATAGCCTTCATCATTTACTGTCATTTTCTCTACTACAGTCACAAATTTGCCTTTAATCTTAAACTTCCCTTTGCTTATATTCGGCAAACTACTCGACAACTTTCCTATCGAGCATATATTTGTTTTTATAGGTGGAGATACGAAATATTCATCTTCTATTCTCCTAATACTACTATCATCAACTCTATCCGATTTTGCTTCTTCATTTGTTCTCATGCTGATTTCATTTGTTTTGTGGTCTATTGTTTTTACATTTGCACCTTGTGAACCGTTATTCTCTTGTTTTTTTTCTGGCAACTTGATTTCAACAGGGGGTACTTCGATATTTGCCAAGTCGACATCAAACTCCATATCTTCGAACATATCAGGAGTTTTACAAACTCTCTGCGTCACTGAAGACTCGGATTGAACTTTCTTTGATTGGGGAACATAATCATCGAAATCGTCTGGCATTTCCATCAAGAGTTGCATATCATCTTCTGAAATCAGATCTCCAACAGCATCATCCTGCATATTTGAGACTTGGTGCACATTCACTGCTCGATTCACATTTTGTGGAATTGTAGCTAAACTTCTATCAACATTGGCATACGAACTATGTACAACGCTGCTATTTACGGACTCGTTTGCAGCTAATATACTTTCAGAGATCACGTTTGGTTTTGGGTTGAAAGGAAGGTTCAACCGTTCAGCAAGTATATTTTCAGCAGCATTTGGGATTATCAAAGAATCAACTTCACCACCTAGAAGTTTTACATTCTCCGCTTTTAGCATTAGTCTGCCTTGTCGCACGTCTATGGGCCCCTTTAGCTTCATTTTCAGCCCTGGGCGCACGTTTATGTTCAGGCAAGGTATCGGTTGGTATTCTGACGCGAAAACTTCTTGTACACCGTCCGTAAGGCACAACATCAACATTCTTTTGGAGTTTTCGGCTTCTTGGTCCAAATTTTTCGGTATACCGTTCCTTATTCTCTGTAACTGCCAATGTTTCGGCTTGGAAACGTCCGTAACGTACATCAGCTGCAAGGAAAAGGTCCCGTTCAAAATAAACTTCTTTTTCTGCGCTATGTTAGGCGGCAAACAAGGTATTTCCAAGTCTCGCAGATCGAGCAGCAACCACTGTTCTAAGACGCTGTTTTGAAGTTGTTTCAAAGTGTACGAAGGCGGTAATGTTTCTTCTTTGCACCAGCCGATACAACTTTCGAGCCATATCCGAGAGACGTTGACGTGCAGAGATTTAAGTAAAGAATCTAACGTGTCAACCTCGTTGCTCATATTTGATTTAATAGATCAGAAATATGGATTTTTCATATTTGTAATCATATTCCGGCAATGTTTACGTTTTTGAAATATTGAGGTTATGGATTCTTTCATTTCACTGACAGCTCTAGGGAATTTATGATGACAGTGTTGGTGACCATGATCACATTGCATTAAATAATCAAAGACATACGTTTTCGTTCCTTCAAGACAGCGGTGCCCAAAAAAGATTCGATATCGAAGGTAAAAACCCATCACTACATTAGAAAAATCTATATACCTGTCACTTGCGATTGACAGTTACATTTTTTTTGCAAATAAACAACAAACCCATATCTGATAATGTTTATTTGATTTTGATTTACCAATTTGCTCCTTCTAATAGAAATTTTAATTGTGTTCATTAATTGGAGTGCTGACTGCTTTTTCCTAACGATTTGTTCTATGTGATTAACTTGTGTGTTGTTTTTAAATTTTGTTGTTCTGAAATATCTGCAATCTTCTATATATATAATATATATGTGTATATGTACATAAGTCTTGTGTAAACCAATTTATAGATAATAACACCAAATAAATAATTGATCAGGTGATGTCTGCAAAAAAGTTGTTTATGGAATAAACGACAAGATTACTGAAGAGACTTTTATTTGCTGGAGAAATAGTGTTTAAGTAACTCTTATCTATAAGATGTACAAGTTTAATGTACAATTTAATCATTGCACTCAAATGAGAGAAGCTGTTTGTGAGGTAGTTTAATTGTTTATGTTCTTAGTTATGAACTATGATACAAGAAACTATTCAACAGGCTTTTCAGATTACCAATGTACTTAATGATATTTCTACTAAATACAGTAGCTATAATGCCACTGCTTCTTTCTGCTTTCTAGAGACTTCAAGAATTAACAATTGTCGCTTACACAAGCATATTGAGCTAGAAACCACAGAGCTAATATATTTTTGCGGCATTTAAAACATTTCACTATCACTACATACATTATTACAATTGTTCAAATTCTTTATTCATTGTGTCGATCTCAAAGACATATGGAACAAGTCATAGTTAAGTCAGGAACAGTAAAACCAGGAACAAAAATTAAATAATAAATAAATGCATATATGCAAACTCGTTATTTTGCAAAAATCAAGCACCTGTCAGAATCCAGTGACATTACAAAAACCTGACTTTTATTGTTTTTTTCATTTTCTTGTCTTAAGTTTTAGGGAAGCTCTAGGGAATTTATAATGTCAGTGTTGGTTACCGTGGTTGTACCAATCAGATTAAATAATCTAAGACGTACGTTTTCGTTCCTTCAAGACAGCGGTGCGCCAAAAACATTCGATATCGAATATAAAAATCCATCTCTTCCCGCTTGCGATTGACGGTTCTAACAGCCGTTTAAATTAAATTTGTTTTTGAATGTGTTCAATAAAATATAGATAGAAAAGGTTGTTACAAGACATCTTCATAAGAGTTTCACATAAAGTTGGATACGACTAAAACAGAAATTATTATATAAAGACAAGGACATACGAGCATTCCAATAACTATCTCGGTGTGGTAATAATATGATTACCGTCAAGTTAATTCGTCTCAAGAGATTATAAATAATAGTAATCATTAATCACAGTGGTATTAAAAGTTATGCCGCCTTTATTGTAAAGGGATTTAGTCTACAAATGTCAATAAAGTCTAATCAAAACAAGGAAATGTTAACGATAAATCTCAATACGCCTATTTAAAAGATTAGCGTCTGCATATTATAATATCCTAGAGTGATCTAGGTTGGTACCGATAAAAAACTATTTAAATGTTCGTTTTGTAAAACCATGTTTCACATATCATAGATAAAGTTCTTCCTGGATTTCTTCACGAAATTAGAACTTGCTCTTATTGTTGCCAAGTTGGACGTCAAAATACATAGTGCCAACCTTGTTTTCATTTGCACTATATGGAACAAACATTTTTAGTCAAGTATAGAACTTTGATAGGTATTCAACAATATGGTTACTGTTTATGAGGTTCGTCTCAAAATCGAAGCCACAATGCACGTAAAAACTCAAAATGTTTCTAGTAAAAATTTGTTGTGTGGTTGGACAGGTCCGTGAATTTGTCTGTTGATTGAAAACACTGCAAAACAAAATCAAGATGACCTTGAAGAAATCCAAGCGAATAAATTCGTTAAGAAATTGTTGACGTACGCGTATGCGTATAAGTCATGTTAAATTCTCGATCTTGTAATTTTTGAAAATTTGACCGTCGATAAACATTTGAATATCCGAATAACGAAATTCGGCAGTTCCAGTGGCCATTTAAGTTTTTCGCACGGAAAAGTAATAATAAATGTATACTTGACAAAAACTTTTTTACAGGACTACCTATAAGATCTAGCTGGTTATAGAATGTTTTGGTCATTCTTCGTCATTTCCATTCTTAATACCACCCACATATTTTGTGTAATCTAAAAAATGCGAATAGATAAATCTGAAACACATGTCTAGGGGCTAAACATTTACCACGAACATTTAACGCGTGGTTATGTAAGATTACAAGAGACCGCAACCTCATTTTTACTAATTGGGCCAGCGATAGATCACATAGCTAGAAAAATGTAGGTCTGTGTGGGTACACGCGGCCAGTGTAAAAGTATATCAAGATATTGTGTACTAGTCGCAATTTTCAAAGGTGGCCAGTTTCGTGTAGAATAGTACAGACATCTTAAATTCGATGAAAGGAGTCGAGAGAAATTTGTAAATTCTTGGAAACTAAACCATATCTCAGACGCTCAAAAAACGTTGTTATTACTTCATAAAGGAATCGTCGACATTCATACCGCCAGGCAACAAGGCAACATTGTCGATATTGCGTGCAGTGTTGCCGAGCCGAACAAGACGAGATCGGTAGACAGTGTCGTTCAAATTCGATAAGACCTGTAAGAAAAAATCGGCGGTCACATGATCAGCGATGGATCAAACGACTTTACGTCACGCAGCGCCCTCTACGAAAAAAGTATATTTTCGGATAGCCAAGCATCCTTGACTGCAACATTGGAAAAAGTAGCAAATCTACCGAAATATCCCCAAGTGCCCGAATGCGCTGTTGGAGTGTCTGTCGGTTGTTGCGTGACGGCTGGCCAGCTTCGTTTCGTGTGCCCGACTGCCCAAATGTGAGACTGGTATGGAGCATAAAACTACACAGACTACATAGAATTTTTTTGTTGTTCCAGAACTCTAAAAAAAATCTGGATGAGTTTTGAAAAATGAGGACGTTTTCGATAGAAATATCGAAAAATCGATAGATTCGGCAACACTGCAGCGGTCGTGCCTCCCTGAGAATCTGGGTGGACCTTCAAATTTGCATATTTAGCATGATTTTGTGTTCAATTATTCCACGTTTCCGGATTCGATCCTGGGAGACGGAAACTTATTTTCTTGTTTTTCATTTATATTAAACAAAACTGTAATAAAAATTCGATGCAGTTCTATCGATGTGATAATTGTCACTGCATCTCTCTCTGTCTAGTGCATCTATACATGATTCGACCGTATCTTTACGTCAGTAACATAAATTATACCTTATCCCACGTTGACTGCAGTATTCATTGACCGGCCATCGATTTTAAACGCCGTGTTACCCGCGAGTCCGGGTCGCTGTTTTCCGAACCTGATCACCGTCATCAAGTGCGCCGTTTATCATTATTATATACACCGTGTGCACAATTTATAACATTATTTACACGAACGCCCAGTGCAGAATTACGACTAAATCCTGTTCGGACAGTAATCAGCTGGATACTTTTGCTATTTTTATTTTTCCGTGTCACTTTACCATACATTGTATTGTGGTATTGTTATAGGAAAGTGCTCATAGCCATGTTCTTATTGGATAAAATTTATTATTGTTATAAACCGTTAAAATGTGTGAATTGATAAAACTTTAAGAACTTTCTTTAATTGAAGATTGATAAAACATACTTCCTAGTTTAGAGACGAAGAGAAACAATGAAAAAAGATACAGCAAAGGATCAAAGTCCGTTAACATAGCGACAGAAGGCCGCAAAAAGCAGTATGCACTCTTATTCGTACGTTTCTAAATCGTTTACCGATGCATATCTTCCTAGTAAATGACATTTACAATCCTCTTTCCACACAAAAACCCGCCCAGGCATTAGATAATGTTTATATGATGAAATTACCACCGACATAAGCAAGGAGCATAAAATTCACATGGAACGCTCGAATTGTTTAAATTGTTTATGATAATTGCGAAAATGCTACGTACGCATAATATTCAGACTGACTTAATTTTATTATACAAAAAAATTTGGTATGGTGGAGAGATTGTAGACCGAGTTTCGCTGATATATGAGAACGGTGACCGAATCGACGAGTTTTTTCAAAGAAAGCGAGAGCATAAGTCAGGGTCTGTGGCCATTAACCACGCAAAACGACTATATTGCGGCCATGAATACAAATTGCGATATTTAGCAGAATTTCGGGAACCCGTAAGCAGTGCTTAATTGGTAAAGGACCAGGCCCAAACATGAAAAATGGGTCCTAGCAGATTTGTCTTAAAAATTCAGTATGATACACTTCCTGCCTTTCCTAACACAAGTGTCAATAGCACCAAAGCAATCATCCTATGACTAGTTTCTGAGAAAAGAAACGGTGTGTAGAAAAAAGAAATATTTCGTTAAAACACCTTGTCGGAAGACGTTGGGAGACGTCATGTTGATCGTGACCATGATCCTAACAAGGTCATTTTTGAGACAAGTTGATTTTCAAATATTTATTCTGGAATAGACCTGACACGAGAATTTAGAAAGCTCAATAGAACAGGTAACCTTTCAAGGGCACAAAAAAGTCGTGGTTGCTTCCTTGTCTTTGAATATGACCTTTACAAGGTCAAATTAGGGTCATGGTGATTTTGAAGATGGAATGAAACTTACTCAATGAACCTACATTAATAAATAAACTTACCATTTCGTACATCTACTTTATCTGATGTCATACACAAACATCTATGAAAAATTATTATTAAACAGAATGTCAATACTACACAAGGACATACGTAAAACGTAACACAATATTCATAAGAATAGCCAAACAGTATTCGAAAACAGGATTCGAATATCGGTATTTGAATACAAGGTGGGTATTCGAATACTGGGATTCGAAAAACGGTATTCAGAACCGAGAATACCGAGTACTGACGAAAAAGTATTCAGTCGAATATCGAATACCAAAAACACAAATGTATTCGAATAGTATTCATATAGATAGTATTCGAATACCAGCCATATGTATTCTGAATAGGATTCAAAATATCGAGTATTCGAATACTCGCCACCCATGTGTGTATCTGTGGCCTAATGTAGAACTCGAAATGCCTGAGACAGGTCACGATATTTAGAAATTGCTGTCCTTGCCATCCTGAAATTGATACTGACAGGTAAAAATTCAACAGCTATTGTTTACTTTGATTAAATGAGCATTCTCACTCTTACCGAGAAACATACACACAAGCAAAATAACTTTCGTATCTATTTTGTTTGTGCAATTTGCGTTATGCGTAACGCAATATTCATAAGAATAGCCTAACGGTATTCGAACACAGTATTCCAATACAGTATTCGAATAACCAGTATTTGAATACAAACGGGGTATTCGAATATTGGGATTCAAACACAGTATTCATAATTCAGAATACCGAGTACTGACAAAAAACATTCAGTCGAATACCAAATACCAAGCACACAAATGTATTCGAATAGTATTCGAATGGTATTTGAATATTATTCGAATACATATTCTGAATAGAACTCAAAATACCAAGTATTCGAATACTGCACAAGTCTGGTGCTCGCCACTGATATGCGTATCTGTATCCTAATGTACAATTTTTGTTGAAAAATCAGGAGCTTAATAATTTACAAAGAAATGTTGATGCAAGAGTGATTTTTAGAGCAATTAGAAGAGTCTAGGTACTTCAATGCTTAACATAACTTTGCAGTACGGTTACACAAAGAGCAAAAAGTCTGCCTATTTTTTTAGGCAACGGCCCAACAAAAGAAAAACCCTTTCTCCGTCTGACACCAAGCGAGAGATCAATAAATACTCGAAATACCTGAATCAGGTCACGATAACGTTTAGGAATTATTGTCGTTGCCTTCTTGAAATTGATGCAGACAGGTTCATCAGCTGTTGTTGGCTTTGATTAGATGAGCATTCTCAGTTTTGCCGAGAAACATACACACAAGCAAAATAACTTTGCGTATCTATTTTGTTTGTGTCATTTGCGTTATGCGTCACGCAATATTCATAAGAATAGACTAACGGTATTCGAACACAGTATTCCAATACAGTATTCGAATAACCAGTATTTGAATACAAACTGGGAATTCGAATATTGGGATTCAAACACAGTATTCATTATTCAGAATACCGAGTACTGACAAAAAACATTCAGTCGAATACCAAATACCAAGCACACAAATGTATTCGAATAGTTTACGAATGGTATTTGAATAGTATTCGAATACATATTCTGAATAGAACTCAAAATACCAAGTATTCGAATACTGCACAAGTCTGGTGCTCGCCACTGATATGCGTATCGTATCCTAATGTACAATTCTTGTTGAAAATTAAGGAGCTTGTTAATTTACAAAGAAATGTTGATGCAAGAGTGATTTTTAAAGCAATTAGAAGAGACTAAAAACTTCAATGCTTAACATAAATTTGCAGCACGGTTACACAAGGAATAAAAAGTCTACCTATTCTTTGGGCAATGATACAACAAAAGAAAAGGACATAAATCCTTTCTCCGTCTGACACCACGTGAGAGACCAATAAATACTCGAAATGCCTGAAACAGGTCACGATAACATTTAGTAATTATTGTCCTTGTCTTCTTGAAATTGATGCCGACAGATAAAAATCGCGGCTGGATTTCGACTGTTCAGCAGCTGTTGTTGGTTCTGATTAAATGAGCATTCTCACTTTTGCCGAAGATCAATACGAAATTTCGTTGCGTAAAGTTGAATTAATTTGTTTATCTTGTGAACGTGTATAGGAAGTTCTTTTCTAATGGTAAGGCGTTGCGAAATTAGGAATACCAACGCCTAAGACCAGGGTGATTTACTGTTGTTTATCTGTTTAGTTAATGTAGAGCGAGAGCTGGGTTAGGTTGAATGCGTATTTTGCATTCTAGACCAACGGAAACATCAATCAAATTGAAAAATGTCGACCTTCCTCGAACGGATTCTGATGCATATCATAACAAGTGGCGCTACCTATCGATGAATAAATGCTTCTGACATTTATACAGTGTATCCTTAAAGTTTACACGGCGTATAGGTCTTGGAAAAATCAGCAGTTTTTTCTAATAACATACGTATATATACAAAAGTCTTAAGATTTCCGAGATGTCGGGCATCGCAAAATCAATAAAAAAACTCACCCTAAAGAATCAGTACTAAAAAAAATGGCGCACTCTTACAGAAATATCGGAGTTGTCCGTACTATTTTGATTTACGATGAGTGAGGAATGCTACCGAGGCTTTGCGAGTGCATGCGGATCGTTTCTAAAGATCCTTCTTTGTTTGGGGCGAAATGACCTTGTTCCAAGCTGGACGTCAAATTCCAGGATGGAGCAGAAAATATTCAATGATTCTCTTTCTGCTTTCTGCATTGTATCATCTTTTTAAACTCTGAGTAACGAAGTTCCCCTAAAGATGATACTCTTCATTTTTCAAGTATGTGGCTGGGCTAGGTGTTTCGTTGGCAAACTAAATTTCAAGCAGATCAAAAAAGAATAATATTAATTTTAATAACCAAGCACAAGGGTCTCTTGCTTAAACACCCCGTATACTTTGTACCATGCATATTGTGTTAAATAACAACCTTCTGCACAGCAACCACCAGTCAAAATCCGAGCGGTCAAATCAAGTAGGGCATGACAATACCAGTTTTAGCGTTTATAACCGGAAAAAGAAATGTCTCGTTCTTTGCCTTGAAAATTTTGCGAAACATTAAAAGGTTATCATAAGTCGATCGGAGTTGGCCGTTGTTTAAATGTCACTAGATCGGTGAAAAAATATGGGTGGTTAAGGAATTATGCCGAGCGTGAAAAGGAGTTATTATTGGTTAACTACCCAGAACCTTGTACAGTGCGTTTCAGAAAGGCCCCCCTAGATATTTCTTAAACGCGACGACGCCTCAATGCTGTGTTTTAACTTAAGCGTAACAGTTGAAAATTCCAAGATTTTTTTACACCGCGGCTGTTATCAGGATCCTAAAGAAACTTTGTTAATTCGATTTTTGAACCAGCCGAAATTTTCGAATGGATTTTTGATTTAAAGAACGCATTTGATACACTTGACCACAAAGAATTATTAACATTCTAGGATTTCGTGGCAAAACACATACTTACCCTAAAGCTACCTTACAGGTAGAAATCAGTGTGCGAAAGTTAATAATTCCATCAGCGACCTTCACCATGCAACATACGGTATCCCACAAGGTACAGTCTTAGGACCTATCCTTTTCGACCTACATGTAAATGATCTTTTTAACCTACACACACACAGTAAAATTATCCGATTCGCAGATGATACGGCTGTGTTTTATAGTGAAAAAAGTTGGAATACCTTAAAGACTCATATTGTAGAGGATTTCAAAGACGTCATAAGCTTCTTCAATAATAAAATATCAACAAGTAATAATTAAGAAAAAGACTTTCTGACGATAGGAACATTCATTAACATACGTATCAAATTACTACCCATAGACGAAGTAGTAGTCCTAAAGTCAGCAAATCATTTAAAACGCCTGGAAATGATCATAAACAGCCATCTAAAATGGGACAAGTAAATAGAAAGCTCAACTAAGAGATTAATCTCATACCAAAATTTAAACTTTTTAGGGAAATTCTTTCTGATAAAGACATATACACCATATACAAAGCAATGGGAATTTTGGAAATCGTGAAAATTTTGATTTATAATTCTCATATCTTGGAGATTTTGAATAATTTGAGAAATCTGAAATTTTGGAAATTTTGAAAAATCAGAAAATTTGTAAAATTTGAACATTTGAGAAAACTTGTGAATTTAGTCCTAAAGCCAGCAAATCATAAAACACATAGGAATTATTAAAGACAGCCATATAAATTGGGACAAGCAAATAGAAAGCTCAACGAAGAGATTACAATTTAAATTTCTTAGAGAAATTTTGGAAAATCAGAAAATTTTGAAAAATATGTAAAATCTGAAAATTTAAGAAAATTTGAGAATTTTGAAAATCATGAAAATTTTGAAAATCATGAAAATTTTGAAAATTTTCAAAAATCAGATAATTTTGAAAACTGCAACATCTAAAAATTTGGAAACTGCTGTTATCTTGAAAATTTAGAGAATTTTAAAATCATTGGAAACCATAAAAAATTTGAGAAATCTTGAAATTTTGAGAATTTTGAAAATTGAAGCAAGTATATTTGCGTACAAACTTACAAAGTGTTACTTTCTGCAGGTGGGAGTTTCTGGCGAACAAAGAAATACCACAAATTGACTGATATGAAAATTTTGAAAAATCATTAAATTTTGCAAAATCTGTAAATTTGAGAAAGTTTGAGAATTCGGAAATTCATGCAAATTTTGGAAATTTTACAATTCTCGGAAACCTTCCAAAATTTACAAATTTTGAACATTTTAAAAATCTTGGGGATATTGAGATTTTGAAAATCTTGAAAAATCAAATTTTGGAAAATTTTATAAAATCTAATATTTTGGAAATTTTGCTGATATCGTGAAAATTTTGGAAATTTCAAAATACCTGGAAACTTTGGAAAATATGAGAAATCTTGAAATTTTGAGAATTTTGAAAATTGAACAAGTATATTTGCGTACAAACTTGCAAAGTGTTACTTTCTGCAGGTGGTAGTTTCTGGTGAACAGAGAAATACAACAAATTGACTGATCTGAGAATTTTGAATATGTATTTTGAAAATTTTTAAAAATCAGAAAATTTTGAAAATTTTGGGAATTTTGAAAATCTTGAAAAATCAGAAAATTTTGTAAAATCTAAAAATTTGGAAATTTTGCGGAAATCGTGAAAATTTTGGGAATTTTAAAATCCTTGAAAACCACGAAAAATTTGAGAATTCTTGAAATTTTGAGAATTTTGAAAATTGAAGCAAATATATTTGCGTACAAACTTACAAAGTGCTACTTTCTGCAGGTGGGAATTTCTGGCGAACAAAGAAATACCACAAATTGACTGATCTGAAAATTTTGATAAATTATCAAATTTTGCAAAATCTGTAAAATTGAGAAAGTTTGAGAATTTCTAAATTCATGCAAATCTTGGAAATTTTCAATTCTCGGAAACCTTCCAAAATTTACAAATTTTGAACATTTTAAAAATCTTGGGGATATTGAGAATTTTGAAAATTTTGAAAATCTTGAAAAATCAAATTTTTGAAAATTTTATAAAATCTAAAATTTTGGAAATTTTGCTGATATCGTGAAAATTTTGGAAATTTCAAAATACCTGGAAACTTTGGAAAATATGAGAAATCCTGAAATTTTGAGAATTTTCAAAATTGAGTATATTCGCGTACAAAGTGCTACTTTCTGCAGGTGGGAGTTTCTGACGTACAAAGAAATACCACAAATTGACTGATCTGAACATTTTGGGAATTCTGAAAAATCTGAAAATTATGGAAAATATTAAAAATCCTCAAAAATTTGAAAGCCAGATGTTATAGACCTCGTACGAATAAAGTTATTCGGTGGAATTGAGTGAATCTTTCTAGCTTTTCGAACCGCTGTACACCGACAGGCTGGTGACCCTAATGCTAGCTCAGAAACGAAGCCCAGGTTAATATTCATTTTTCGGTCATTTCCAACACTTTGCAAGTATAATTGTTTTCTAAACACCATTTCGACTGCGATGACGAACAGATATTCCACAGACTGGTGTTCAGTCCCCGCATTGACTCATCTCTGCGTCCATCCATTCTGGCGATCGAGTTCACTTTCTAACATTTATCGCGCACATTTACGCAATTCTCGAACGGTAACACAACTAACATTCACTTTCGGCGTCCGATCATCTTCTCAGACGGCGATCTTCTTGTTATAAATCACATCCGACGATCGGATTACGGATTTTGCGGATTATTTTCCTTTGAAATATCTGCTAATAAAACGTACGGCAATTTACATCTGCCTTCGCTGAACTCATAAACCTCACAACACGGTCTGAGGCAGATGCTTTCTGAAGGTAATGCCTGTTTCTATTGGAACCAGGAACACTTTAAGTGTTAACTTAATTGTTTTTATATCTATACATATCTTTATATGTATTTAAGATTCTTAGATGTACCCCATCCATATAGCCTAACCCTAAACTTGTATTACTCAGTTTATGGTGGTTCTTCGAATATTTCGTCAAGTAGATAGACTCAGTATTCAAGACACATTGATATACAACAGTCGCGGACTGACGCCCCGAGTTACCTTAATGTACCTAGCATCGTTCGCATATAGTCACCGATACAGAAACTTGACTTTTAGCACCCTCCAGTCGCAATGTCGCATAGTTCTCATTTCATTTCTTCATTGGGGCTTAACACAGGTCAAATTAGAAGTTAAAATACAAAAGTGTAAGCAAAATTTGTTGGAAAAAACAACATTGACGTAAACCTGCGGGAAAGAATGTCTACGACGTACTTGTATGGACCCGTTCGACTGACTTGATCCGTTCAATTGCTCTGTTATACGTAGGTACATTCTTTCCTGGTGGTCCAACCGACTTGACGTCATTTTTTTCAGCCGCTGTTCGAGATGCAGTCAAGGTAAAAAAACCAGCTTCGGCACGTGTTCTCGAATCCCCCTTCTTATCGTTCTTCAATAACGGCGAATTCTTGGCGAATGTTGGATCGCCGGTAGGACCTTACGGCCAAGCGTTTGTTCGAAGTGACAGTCAGACCGCGAACAACGCCAGCGACGCGTCGCACGCTGACCGACATACGTACGCCGAAGAGCACGTCCGCGAATCAAGAACGCGAACGATCTTCGTTCGTTTTTTTTTAATCTAGACTTCGCGCGTGTGGATTTTCGAATTTTCGCGGTCGCCCGACTTGGATTGCTTCCAGGAAGCCTCATGATGGTGACACCAAGGTCAGTACCCAGAGAATAGTTTCTTTTTATATTCTATACTTTTTTCATAAAGCTTACTTTACGAAAAGTTCTCTATTCGATGTATTACTTTTGTTTTCAAATCATAATAATAATAATATTTATTGCTCTCATTAAACAGTATATACAAAGTTTACAAACCAAAAAAAAGCCTCAAGAGGATAAAGGGCTACAGAAGCAGCTGCTAGAACCAAAAAAAAAACAAACAAATTTAAACAATCCTATAGTACGACAAATGGCTATTAAGACATTCATAAATAATAATGTTTTAATGTGCACTCTAAGCTTAAGTTTAGAGTCAACCACTACGCCCAAATCCTTCACGGAATCCCTAAATGATATTTGTCCCCTAGTTTGAGCTTAATATTATTTTCTAAAACGTTTCTGCAGGAATAATTACAAAACAATATAGCCGTCGATTTACTAGGGTTTATCTTTAACGAGTGATCTTCAGAGGTTTTGAGAAGGCTATTAATCCTATACCTCTTAAAAAATCACCGGTTATATACATCTACGTATCGTCAGCGTTTGTCATAACATTACATCTTTTAACTAGTAAAGACTCGGCAGTAACCTTAACCAAAAATACAATCAAATGACATGTCGACAGTTATGACGTCACATATCGTTGTTCCTACAATTGTAGGACGCTTCATGATTTTCATAGTATTTCCCTCAGTCATAAAAGCCGAGCGCGATGTATGTAAAACGAATAATTTCAAGTCATAAAACCGATATTTTGTCTTAATATCGCCTTCAGCATACCTTAATCTCTTGTAAACCGATGTGTATCCGTATACGGTCCATTTCTATAAACCGAACGCGTTTTAAAGCACCTTTTACGGGCTATTTACATAATGGCATGAATATATTCATAAAACTTCAACGCCAATATTCCAGCTCACTGTTACACACACAATTATTGGATGCTCATTGTTGCGTGCACAATAAAAGCAAGCTTAGCAGCTGTAAAACTATTTTCACGGTAAATGTCAAGACAATTACTCATCTAACTGCAGTGATAATTTTATTGTGAAAACGCGGTTGGCCTTTATGTAGACATATATCACGTTCGTCACTTGTTTTCGTCGTTGTTCATCGAAATTTCAGTTGCAAAAGTGGAAATAGTCGAAAAACGGCCATTACGCGCTTTCTGCCCGGAGTGTAAGACTCTCCGAATAATTATTTTCATGGTATATTGTCAGAGCATCTAACTGTGTTTTTTGATATTCAAGTTGCAAGAGGAACGCCTCGAAAATTTGGCCATTATGGTCTCTCTGCCCGGAGAGTGAGACTCTCTAGTCATTCGGAATAACTTTTTACATGGTATAATGCCAAAGTTTCCAGCTGCAATAGTAATTTTATTGTGAAAACGTGGTTGGCGCCTTTGTTGATTCTTCATCGTTGTTTTTGGAAATTTTAGTGGCAAAGGTTTAAAAACTCAAAAAATGCCCGGAATATAAGACTGTCTAATCATTTGGAATCACTATTTTCATGGAATAATATCCAAGTCATTCCTCATCAGACTGCAATATTACTTTTATTGTGAAAACGGAGTTGACGTCAAGCATGCCTTCTTCACTTGTTTTCATCGCTGTTTTTTGAAATTTTAGTTGCAAAGGGAAATACTTGAAAAATTGACATTATATACTCTCTGCCCGGAGTGTAAGACGCTCTAATCATTCGTCATGGTATAATGTCAAAGCAATTACTCATCTAACGGCGAAACTGATTTTATTATGAAAACACAGTTGTCGTCGTTAATGATTTTTTCACTTGTTTTCATCGCTGTTTTTTGAAATTTTAGTTGCAAAGGGAAAACAACCACTATGCGCTTTCTGCCTGGAGTGTAAGACTCTGGATATTTCTAATAATTCGCCGTCTTGGCAGCTACTGTAAAATGAAAAAGTGACGACGGACTTATAACCGTATCATTTTTTACGCAAAGAAAGGAAACAATCGCGGCTTTTTCTGCCATAAAATAACTCTAACTTGAGCACGATCTTTTTGCCATCTGCATACAATATTTTCTAGTGTAACATGCATTCCATGTTCTAAACCACGAATACCAACACTGCCATATATTGCATGCGAGCGTTCCAGTTTACTTGAATAATTAAGGAGACACTTGCGTTCTTTTCGCTATAAAGGCGGATTTGGATTTCGAAAACAATAGGCGATTGCATTACAACGACTAGCGCACATTTTTTTCATTTTACATTCTCGAGCGGATTCTCGCTGATCGTTTTCTGGTGATATAAGTTCAGTGAAAGCGTGCGTCACATCATGTGACTTAAATAATGCAAATGACTGGATGAGCTACAAGTTAATTGACTCTAGACTACTTAAGCCTTGCAGGTTTCGCAGAAAAGGGATGAGTCGAACCGCGCATATCCAGGTCTATGAAAAACCGTTTCCATACATACAAATCATACACGTACTGAATATGTATGAGTTTATTATTAAACGTAAGAGTATCGCATCCAAAGCGATAAATAATAATGCAAAGTCCAGCAGCTTTGACTCGACGACTGGGTAGGAAGAGATACAATTACGTATACCGGCCGCATTCTAGTGGATTAGAAGTGAACTGAGAAAACTCGACGACCTTCTGTATCCGCGTAAATTGAGTGCTCTGGTATTTATGCATATATGGATTAATAATCCCCCGTTGAAATGCTATTATGATTATATTTATAAGTCTTCTGTATCACTTATGCCTTTCAAATATATATATTGATGTGTAATAGTTGCAAATGTAAAGCAAGGTCTGCAAGTGGTCACTAATGGAAGATGGTTTAACAATTATTTTGAAAAGTTATGAGTTGTTTATAAGGCTCCTTATAGCAGACGCGGTGCCGATGCTTCATGTGTTTTGAAAGCATCAAACTGTATCAGATTGTTGCGTCCCCAAGAAGTGATAACCTCCAGATCCCTCGCTGCTTGCCTTTTTTATAAAGGCTTACCGGCCGAGATAGGCTTGTCACACTGAATTGCTGCGTGTAGAGTGCTATCATCGACAAAGACAGGATCGGATTGATCGTACAGGAAAGGAGGTCGTTGATGTGTAAAAGAAACAATGATGGGGCCAAGACCGATCCCTGAGGAGCACCCGCGTTGAAATTTTTGGATAAAGTATATATATATATATATATATATATAGGTGAAAAATTAAAGCTTCCGCCTTTTGTTGGGTACTTCGACAAAATTTAAGCAAAGAGGACTCTTTATACTTTTTTTAATTCTCTCTAGCTTTCAATGGACTTTGCCATCATCATCAGGAGCTGCAATTACAATGATAACAGTAGCAATTGCAGCTCCTGATGATGATGGCAAAGTCCATTGAAAGCTAGAGAGAATTAAAAAAATATAAAGAGTCCTCTTTGCTTAAATTTTGTCGAAGTACCCAACAAAAGGCGGAAGCTTTAATTTTTCACTTAACTGGTCTAGACGACAATGACCACGTCTCAAGTTATATGTATATATATATATATATATGTTAGAAACTACATTCCGATTTTGTCCCCAACATTGCTTCTCGTTAATTAAAAAAAAATTGATATGTTTGGGTGTATTGATTTATAGTGTTATGATGTTACGATGTTATACGTCGTTATCAGTAAGCTCAATGTGTCCGTCCGATTGGTTTTGTATTTATAACAAGTGCTCTCATCTCCGGGTTCGTTTTGAATCAACCTCAACGACGAATCCTGATGAAGGCTCCATATTGCCGAAAGTTTGATACTATCCTCAAAAGAGTTAACTAAAATATCAACCATGCTCAATATTAGAAATTCTTTTACTATATATACGAGTATATATATAAACGAGTATATATATATACGAGTATATATATATATATATACGAGTATATGTATATATAAATATATATTCGCTCACCATACAATGTGAGGACTCCCCATGTAAAATTTTCATACAAAGTAAGGACCACGACAAAGTGAGGTCCGATACAGACATTATATATCGTGTTCCCCAACCCTTAATCATTAAGAAAACGTGAACAAAAAATGGTCCTCAGTTTGTACCTGGTACCTTAAAATTTGTATATCGTACTTGGTCGTATCGCCGCATCCGGCGCTGCGCGCGCGAAATATATTTTTCATACGTGTATATTTTGCAATCGATAGATCTACCAAGTGAGGACCGCAAGCAAGGCAACAATGGTCGGACCTCGGAAGGTGGGCCATACGAGCTGGACATTCCAATCTACTTTATATATATTTCTGTATGCGCTAAGTGAGAATATATCCTGAAAAATCCTTACTTTGTTTGTTGTAAGCGTTTCAATATACGGACCTCGTCATGTTAGGCACTTAGTAGGTCCCCACTTTGTCCGATTTACAAGTTTAAAATAGTTTCTTCCGCGTATACTCGCCACTTTTAGATGTAACAATGGCGTGCTACCAGATCATGCCTAAAAGCACATCTGGATTTGGATTTAGGGACGGTTTCTAGCGATAAATGATGATATCATCACTGCTTTTCATTGTCGCGTGATTTTCCAAAAGCTTTCGATGCAATTAACCACGAAGTTTCATCACTAGAGCTTATGAAATCTGGGGTACCACAAGGTTCTGTTTTAGGGCCACTACTATTCACATTATACACCTCAAATTGTACAAAATTGTAAAATAATGACCTACACCGACGATACCCAAATGAATGAGCATGAAAACGCTATCTTACTTATAAACAAGGATCGAGAGGTAATTTATAATTGTGCAAAGGACAATGAGTGTCACATGGAAGTCAGCCACCCGTCTGCAAAGCTACTGCTCTATGAAAACAACGTGTTTATGTTTTACTAAAAAGCTGAATGTTCACTTTCGTCATGCCCACTCTTAGTCTTGGAAAAACCGATAACCGTGAAGGTCGCCTTACCCCGAACGTTTCAACATCGAACAGCAAATCACATGATCCTCCCAAACATAGCCGTCATGCTCCAGATATCTTAATTACAT